GCAGCAGCAGCAGCTGCTGCTGCTGCTGCAGCGGGAGGGCCGCGTCAGGGACAATCGAGGAAGAGGGCGTGCAAGTTGTGTGGGATTTGAAGAATGATTTGCGGCTGCATCTGTTTGAATCTGGGGTGTCTGTACACCGCGGCCTTGCTGCTGCTGCTGCTGCTGCTGCTGTCGGGGCTGTAGTGGAGGCCCTTGTGGGGAGCGACGGGGCCCTTTGCCAGCGCGCAGATGAGCTGCAGTTCAGGCTGCAGCTGATGCAGCAGCAGCAGCAGCAGCAGCAGCAGCCGGACCAGCAGCTGCTGCTGCCCGTGCAGCGGGCGTCCCTAGGAAGCACAACGGAGAGGTGAGGAAGCACGGCACTAGCTGCTGCTGCATTTGCTGCTGCTGCTGTTGCATTTGCTGCTGCTGCTGCTGCTGATAATGGCTGCGGGCCTTCCGTAGCTGCTACATTTGCGTGTCTCAGATGGAGGACAGCCAGCTCGTTTGGGTGGCGGGGCTTTCCTTCCATTTTGCCTAAACCCTAAACCCTAAACCCTAAACCCTCGGCACGAGCCTCAGCATACGAGACACACCATGCAGCAGCAGCAGCAGCAGCAAAATTAGGAACTGGCTTTAGTGGTTCTCGCTTTAGTTTTTGAGCTTGTAGCTCGCGTAGGCAGGCGCCTGAAGGGATGTGGTGTGGCTGTTGCTGCTGCTGCTGCTGCTGCTGCTGCTGCTGTGCAGGCTGCTGCTGCGCGTGCTGGAGTTTCTGCAGCAGCAGAATGACTATTATTCGGGCAGAGGGGGTGCGGGAATTTGGCCCCCTGTGTCTTCATGGGTGCCAGATGCTGCTGCTGCTAGCTGGCCTTTTGCTGCAGCAGCAGCAGCAGCAGCAGCAGCAGCAGCAAACGGCGAGGAAAGCCGCCGCTACTCGGAGGTTTCTTACTTGTCTCCCTACATGCTGCAGACTTGGCGGTTGCTCGTTGCGCTGCTGCTGGATCCCACGCAGCAGCAGCAGCAGCAGCTGCAGCGGCTGCTGCAGCAAGGCCCCAACAGAGACTTAAATGTTTCTTTTGCTGCTGCATTAGAGAGAGAGCGGCAGCTAAATGTTCTTCAGTGGCTGCTGGAGGAGGGCCGGCCGCTGCTGCTTAGCTTCCTGCGAAGGGCTGGGTCGCCTGCAGCAGCTCAGCTGCAGCAGCAGCAGCAGCAGCAGCAGTTGCTGCTGCAAAACCACCAGCTCTTCCTATCCTGCAACGCCAAGGCCCTACTCGAGGCCTTCGCAGCAAAGGGAGAGCTGCGGAGGTTTGCTGCGCTGCTGCACCTGCTGGCCAACGGCCACGTGAGTCAGCAGCAGCAGCAGCAGCAGCAGCATCAGGAAGGGCAGCAGCAGCACGTGCTGCCGCTGAATGAATTGTTCCTCTGATACATGCTGTTGCTGTTGCTGCTGCTGCTGCTGCAGGGGCTGGCATGTGTGCATCTGCTGCTTAAAGGGGGCGCCTTCTACCCGCATTTGGCTCTAACAATTGCTGCCCACATTCAGCAGCCACTTGGATCTCAAGTGAGCTGCTGCTATTGCTGCTGCTGCTGCTACTGCTGCTGCTGGCCGGCCTGCGGCAGCGGGTGCTGCTGCTCCCCGCTTTGTTGCACATTGAGCTCTCCAGCAGCAGCGGCAGAAGCTGTATCTATTTGCGAGCGCGCACTATTGCTGCTGCTGCTGCTGCTGCTGCTGCTGCAGCTGCTCTACGCGGATGCGCTGCAGGCGTCTGCGCTGCCGCAGCCCCCGCAGGAAGTGCGGCGG